TTTTTTTTTTTTTTTTTTTTTTTTTTTTTTTTTTTTTGCGAAAAATACGGCGTTCGTTTTTTTAACAATTTTTTTTTTAAGCTGCCATTTCAATTAATCAAACGGTAATTGTATAACGTACGATAAATTAAAGTTGGCATGGAAATATTCGTTCTCTCACTGTTTTAATCATCCCCGTGAATAATTGACACGTTTAATCCATAGCTGATTGCGTGGCTGTTGTTCAGTCACGTGAATAAATTATGAGAAACAAATATCAATATGTTTCGAAGGGAAAATCGATCGACAGTACAAACGTTCTCTTCGATCCAACGATCATCTTAAATCCAGAAACTACATTCTTAAACAAAATATAAATATATATATATTAACATAATTTTCTACGTTTTATAAATATAACAAATTTTTAAAAATTTTTATAATTCTCTCGAAACAAATTATTCGATTTGACAAAACATAGCAAGTTTTAAAATTACTAAGAATGTGATTAAAAATTAATCGACAATTTTTTTTTACCATAACACGAGCTCTAAAAATCTCTATCCTCTCGGAAATAAGATTTACAAAAGTATCACCATTTTCATTAGTGATGCATGACCGAAGAATTATTTTCCCTCGTTGGAGAAAAAAATCCCATTTAACCTGAGGGGTGAATTTACGCGTTGGCCAAAGGTCAAAGGGAAATTAAATGTCGATGAAGGTGGCGATTTAGTCTGCAGGAACGTTTCCACGGTCGTGTACGAGGCCTGGACCCTGGCAGATAGCTAAAATTCAACGTTTATTCGAGCCTCGATTCGAATCGTGGTGTTCTCGATCGCTCGTCTCTCCCTTCCCGAGGAACCGATTGCCAGAAGTCGCCTCCACGGAATCAAACGCGTCAATATCCAGATAATTCTCCCCGTGAAACGTCTCTCTTTGTTATACTTGAAGGAGGGAGGAAAAAATTGACAGAGATGTAACGATTTTTAAATCAAAATCGTGATTCGAGAATTGGAATTCCTTATTGACACTTGAGATTGAATAGTTGTCCAGTAAAAGAATATTAAAATGATCAAGACGTCGATATAATTCCCTCTCTAAATAATTTAAATTTCAATAAATGAAAAATAAACTCACACCCTCGAGATACACTTCTCTTTTCACTTTTACAAATTTAATCGGATCATATACTTCGATATACTTTTTATTAGTTTTCCTATCCTAAAATATCCAGAATTTCGAAAATAAAACTGTATAAAACTGTATATATATATAATATTCGTATCCATCGATCGATAAATTTTTATAATCGAATCGACCGCGATCCCGCGCAGGGTTACGAAAGTCGAGGGAACGGCGGAAAGAAGGATGAAGAAGAATTGAAACCTGGGTCGAGTTCGGGGGTGGCGAGTTCCATTAGGAAAAAATTAGCATACGGTCGGGGCGAGTGGCGCGTTATCGTGGGCGCAATGGTACGGAAGCGGGAATTATTTTCTCTAATCCAATTAGGGGCGCGATAAAAGCTCACGCCCTAGTTGCTGTCCGGCAATCGGTCTTCATTAGCCGGCCCAACTTTTCCTCGAGCTTAGCTGAAATTAAGCTCGCGTGCACTCGCGTTAATCGCGCGATAACGAATCGCTTTGGAGAGACCCCCGCTCCCGCTCCAATTCGAAAATCGTTTTTGTTGCCACGTTAATCCTCGAATAGGATGCCCGACCTCCTCTCTCTCTCTCTCTCTTCCCCAACTTCGAATTCGGTGTACGAGCATTTTCGAAGCGATATCTATATGTATGTATTTATATACTCGTTTCGAGCTGCTTACCGAGCATGGGTGATGCATCGTTCGAGAGTTTTGCTGGCCCAAATCGATGTACTTTTGGCTGGAAAAGTGTCTCCTGAACCGGAAGATTCTGTCCAGCCATGACTGGTTTCGTTGTATATCGGTTTTATTCCGCCTCTCCGATCCTGTGAGGCTGTATTCTATTATGGTTTTTATCATCCGTCTATAATTATCTTATTTCGCTTGTCTGACTCTTTCGCTTATTTGCGTCGAATAAAACGATTTTTCCATTTCGTTTCGTTACATATATTGGGTGTAATTAATTTTTTTTCCAACGATTTGGAGAATTCTTTCTTTCTTTTTTTTTTCTTTTTATCAAAGTAATTTATTCGATAAGCATGTTGGGAAATTTATATAAATGAAATGAGAGTCGAACGAGAAATTATTCGAATGGTAGATATGTGAAAACAGATTATTTGCCTGTATAACGTGTAACGTACGTGTAAAATATATCGTTAGGATATGAAATAGCAAAGGGTAGAGATATAAACGCGAAATGTAACATTAACAACCCGTGCAGATTATAATCACGTGAAATTGCGTGCACGTCAGTTCGATGAACACGGTGCACATTTGAGGAATCTAAATTTCAATTTGAATTGTATCCTTTATTAGATTGGCTTCAAATTAGGCACAATCGAACTGCAAATAAATTTCCAATTAGAACACGATATCTAATTAAATCTATTATGCACAACTACTATGAGATACATTGTTATAAACTCTATATTAAACGTTATTCATGGAATTCGTAAGATTCGTAAAATTTCAAATTCGCGGTATTTCGATGAGATACTAGTTTCAAGAATCACTATATATATTTAAAGAACAATTCCTTTATCAGGATCGTAAAATTAATGAAATGAGATGGCTTCCACTGCGTAGTTTCAACCCCATATCCCTCAAGATGTTTCACGTTCAATTAAGCCCTTCGAATTTTATGACAAGTTTATGGCCCGTTTTTAATAGTTTCTTGTAATGTGATCATCGACGATATAAATCGTAAAATCGACGTAATGCTCGAGATTAAGAATAATAGATACCGACTATTATATACTTATATTTATATGAAGTATTGAGAATGTTTCAAATATTTTATAGCTGCGAAATTATATATCTTTAATATCCGCAGGAAGTTTTCGAAAACATTGAAATTTTATGACGTTGTCGGTATCGTCTTAAAACAGAATCAAATTTATCTGTGCATCGATACGTTCGATATATTTATCGTGAGGACAAATTTTTTAAAGATTTTGTAACGTAAATATTATTTAATATTAGTTTGAACGAAATATTTGCATATGTTTTCCAAATTGAGATAAATGTGGGAAAAATTTTTAAAATAAATAATTTTGATTGAGTTGTTTAAATCATAATTATAATAAAACTTAATAATTTCTCGACACGCGAAAAATATACTTTGACTTATACTCGCGTCATGAGAAAAAATTACAGAAATGCAAATGTAATTAAGTCATGGTAATATTTATTCATTCATCTTTTCTAATTCTTTTGTTTGCTGTCTTATTGCAGGATATTCTCGTCCCTTTTCGGTGAACAAGGATTCAAAATGGTATAATTTGTGAACTTGTTGAATGTGAAACGGTGCAAGAAAGGATTTGACGTTGGAAGTGATTCGTTTCAGTGTTCGTTTCTTATTGGGGGTAAGTTTCAAGAATTTACGAATTCAGTTATTAACTCTATCAAAAATATTGGTTATCAATATAAATTAAAAAAACTCGATTCTATCCTAAAAATCAATCAATCTTGGTCAACTTTTTAAAAACATTCATTAATAAAACGCTATTTGCCACTTCGAAGCAACAACAATGTATATTCGAATAATTTGCAAGGGAATTTATTCAAAGTTTTGTTAAACACTGCGGATGCAAGTGGCGACATCTCTTTATGCCGTGGACTCGCTAAACCCTCGGATGTTTTTATTATGGCGAATAAAAACTGGGCGAAAACTCGCTTAATTTATAATGATCCCAGGAATTCTTACAGTTCCACGCGATCCACCCGTAAAACTTAAGAGGAATTAACGAGCGAGCTCGAACGATGTCGTAAATAGAACGAAAGAGAATGCTTTGACGACCGACGTTGATTGAATTGAAGTTTTTAGCGACAGTGGAAAATGTTTTACAGAACGTGAACCCATAAAAATCGAGTCGAAGAGTTAAATTTTAACCTAAACTCTTTACCATTCAAACTTTCGAAATAAATTTATTATAATAATTTATCGAGAACTCATAGATTCAATTTTTAACATATATAAAATATATAAAAGGAAAGATTATTTCTCGAATCGATGTCAAAGAATGAAAATAACTTCGTTCAAGTTGCACGATAGTAATTTCACAATGGTGAACAAGTTTCAACGATTGTGTGTCGAGATCTTGAAGAAGAAACCAAAAAGATTCCGAACGAAACTCTACGTCTTCCCCGCTCTTCAATCTCCACTTTATCCCGAAATGAAGCCAAAAAATAAAGTCGAAAGTCAAAATTGGAAAATTCAA